TGCCACATAAAAGCAAAACGTTGAAAATTATTTCGTTAAGGTGAAAACCACATATTTAATACGTAATGTTCGGCTCCGCCCGAACTTCGACTTTCTTACTTGTTAATTTTAATTATTATTTTTTTAACGCGGCAGCGACATCATGAATTGTATGAGTTTGACATAAAAGAAGAGGAAGAACATTATCTGTCGCCGGAAAAATAGAACTTGATCTAATCTGGCCACAACCACAGCCGTCGCATAGCCCGTTCGTCGCTAAAATAATTATCTACATAAGAGAACGTGTTAAAATAACTAGACAGCTGTCTGTAGCTCGTCGTTTTCATTCTGTTCGGTATATTACTCATAAAAAATAAAGTAGCTTTATAAACTGAAAAATTTATGAAACGTCACTTTATAAAGCTCTTTAAACCTACATTTTTTTATGAATAAAGCCATTATTCTGTATTCAAAAAATTAAATGTTTCAATGGAATTGAATTCAATGTTAAATATTTGAATAAATCATTTAGATTTAGATAGCGTTTTTAGCAATGATATCAATTTCGTGACGAAAACTATACTAATTTTTTTAACTGCTCTGGAAATAAATAAAGCTATTTTCCGTCAGAATACTTTCAGAGCAGAAGCGTTTCTGTCCATTCGAACGAAATGGAGCTGCTGAATTTTAATTCGCTGCACTATGTCCATATCGTTGTAAAGCTCATACAGCTCATCGTTAAATCGTCTGCGGTATTCGCCAACGCGTAAAGGTCCGTAAATCTCTCCCAGAACCTTTCTCTCGAAAACTCCAAGAGCCGCTTCATCAGATGTTTTCATTGTTTATGCCTCCGCGCCATACACCAGCACAGGCATGATGAGTGACTTATAGAGTGTGATCTTTGTACGACGAGAGACTGTACTTCTCACTTGCCTACTCAGTCCAAAGTAGTACTTGACATTATTATTGGTGTTAATGCTGGTTCCCAAATAAACGAAGTCGTCTACTTTTTCAAACTTGTAACTGTCAACAGTGACGTAGGTGCCAAGACGCGTATGCTCTGACTGTTTGTGTGATGACAGGAGATAACTCGTTTTGTCCTCGTTCACCACCAGACCCATTCGCTTCGCTTTTCTATCCAATCCCGAGAAGGCAGAACAGATGTAGCCCTTGTTTTACCGATAATATACATGCCGTCGGCATTGTACGCTCTTCTAAAGTATTGTGCCTGAGCGGTTCAGTTCTGCGGGTATTATTATCTTCTCCAATTAAAGAAATCACACAAAAGGTAGTCATCTTTCTGAAACCTCGTTTGGTATGAAACGGCTCGGAGAGCCGTATTTTGACCGAGCTGGTGCTATTGCTCAACGTCATTTTACACAGCCGTATTAGTTTCGCGGGGATACCAAATTCCGACATCGCGGCATAAAGGCAACTTCTCATGGTGCTGTCGAAAGCGGCTTTGAAATCGTCAAAGTCTTTTCCAAGATTTGGCGTATTGTGAATACTTAATCTATGGTGGATTTGCCAGGCCTAAAGCCACACTGATAAGATCCCGTGGCGTACCCAGGGGGGGATTTGGGGGAATAGATAACAACCCCCCCCCCCCCCCCCCCCTTCGTCATTGAAATTAAAGTTTTTATTTTTGAATTAATAACACAATACTATTTTAC